CAATCGGCGTCTCTCGCGCCGTGGCGGCGCCTCTGCTGGCCGCGCTGCTGCGCCCGCTGCCCGAGGCGGAGGACCGCTCAGTCGGGCACCGGTGGGAGGGGGGCAGGCGCGGGGGCAACGTGCGGGGGCGCACACGGGGGGGGCAACATAGGGGGGGAGGGGACGGGCTCGGGGGCAACGGTGGGGGGGGTGGGGACAGGCTCGGAGAGGCAGCGCAGCGCCGTGTGGGGGGGAGGTAGGGGCAGGCGCAGCGGCAACGATAGGGGGTGAGGCCCAGGGGGCAGCGTCAGGGGGGATACGGCGTGCGATGTGGCACCGCGTGCCCACTTATTGCATGCCATCTCCCACCTTGTGGATAACGCGCGCCGAAGAGGCCCTGGCAGGGGGGGGGTGCATGCTCAGAAGGGGCCCTCGCGGGAACATCGCCTCACGGGTACAGCGTGCTTGTCGGAGATCGATGTTGCACGCTATCTTCACACCGCCAACTGTAGGGGGGGACAGGGGGGCAATGTTAGGAGAGGAAATGTTCAGACCCACTGGCATCATGGAATTATCCTGGCGAACAGCCCCACCATGTGCCTCTGTTTGTGAGTGCCGCAGTTGTGAATCTCCTCTTCGCTGGAGCCTCATGCGGGGCCACAGAGCGGTGGGTGTCGCTGCGGCCTTCGGTGGAGCTCCTCATGAGGCCACGAACCGTGTGAGGGGTGCGCCGTATTGCGTGGGGGACGCATGCAAACATCGCCATTGGGGCCTTAGGTGGAGCCCCCAATGGTGCCACGAAGCGTGCGAGGCCTGCGCCGTAATGGGTGGCGAGGATCCATGCACACGTCGCCTTTAAGGCTTTCGGTGGGGCTCCCCATTGGACCATGCATCGTGTACGTGGTGCGCCGTAATGGGTGGCGCGGGCGCACTGAAACGTCGCCATTGGGGCCGCATGTGGAGCTCCCGTTGGGGCCACGAAACGATGGATAGGGTGATACGGAATGTGCGGCGCGGACGCATGCGAACGGTGCCACTGGGGCCTACGAAACGCGCGGGGGTAGCGCAGAATTGTGCGGTGCGGACGCATGCAAACATCGCCACTGTGGCCGTAGATGGACCCCCCGATGGGGCCACGAAACGTTTAAAGGGTGCGCCGCATTGTGCGGCGCGCACGCATGCGAACGGTGTCATCGGGGCCGTCAGTGGAGTCCCAAATGAAGCCACGAACGTGTGAGGGGTATACCGACATGCACGGCGCGGGCGAATGCGACGGTCGCCATTGGGGCCTTCGGTGGACCTCCATATGGGGCCACGAAGCGTGTGAGGGGTGTGCCCAAATGTGCGGCACGGACGCATGCGAACGTCGCCACTGGGGCCTTTGGTGGAGCTCCCGATGGGGAAACGATGCGTGTGAAGTGTGTGCCCAAATATGCGGCGCGGACGCATGCGAACGCCGCTATTGGGGTCTTCGGCGGAGCTCCTCATAGGGGCCACAAAACGAGTGAGGGTGTGCCGAAATGTGCGGCGCGGGCGCATGGGAACGTCGCCACTGGGGCTTTAGGTGGATCCCCCTCTGGTGCCACAAAATGTGTGAGGGGTGTGGCGACATTTGCCGCGTGCACTCATGCGAACGTCAGCACTAGGTCTTACGGTGGAGCTCCACATTGGGCCACAAAACGAGTGAGGGTGTGCCGAAATGTGCGGCGTGGGCGCATTCAAACGTCGTCACAGGGGCAGTCGGTTTGGCTCGCCATGGTGCCCCGAAAGGTGTGAGGTGCGTGTTGGAATGCATGGCGTGGGCGCATGCGAACGTCGCCACTGGGATCCTAGGTGGAGCTCCTCATAGGGCCACGAGGCGTGTGAGGGGTATGCCGACATGAGCGGCGCGGGCGCAATGGGAACGTCGCCACGAGGGCCTTATGTGGAGCTCCCGATGGGGCAACGGAGCGTCTGAGTGGTGTGCCGCGAAGTGCGGCGCGCACGCATGCAAACGTTTCCACCCTAACCTTCGGTGGACCCCCCTATGGGGCCACGAAGCGTTTGATGGGTGTGCCGAAATGTGTGGCACCGTCGCATGCAACCGTCGCCACTGGGGCTTCCGGTGGACCTCCCTGTTGGGCGACGGGGCGTGTGAGGAGTCTGCCGGAACAGGGACACGCGATGTGTAGGGGCAGGGATGGGAGGAGGGCAGAGGGGAAGGAGTGGTAAAGAGGAGTGACGCGGGGAGCTGTTTCTTCAAAATGAGCGCCCAACCCTCCTTGATGGTTGGGACCATATTCTTCCCTCAATCATACTATTGTTTTGGGTCTTCGCTTTGAATTCACAGCGCACCGTGTCTTCCTCTCCTCCTCATTCTCCCAATCCTCCCCGCAAATCCATGTAATCATACTCCTCACACGCTCCCTGGCTTCATAGGGAGGTCCGCATAAGGCCCCAGTGGCTGGACTCGCATGCGTCTCCCCGTCCATGTCCCAACACTCATCACACGCTTCGTGGCCCCATATGGAGTTCCACCCAAGGCCACAGTGGCCTTCCTCGCATGCGGTTCCCGGCCCATTTCGGCACACACACACACACCTCACACGTTTCGAGCCCCCCCTCTCCAAACCTCCCGTGTCTGGAGTGCAGATTGAATGGTCCTGGGCTCGCGTGCCTCATAACATGTTCATGCTGTGTTTTATGCTTTGTTTTTCTGCTGCTACTGGTGGCGTTGGACAAAAAAGCGACCCTGTACTTTTCACCGGGCTCTGCGATATTTCGAAGTGGACCTCTCCTCCTCGGCCTGCTCCTTTTGAGGATCACCCAGACGCCCCCTAACACCCGATAGGCGTCAAACCTTCCTCCCTCCTTCCCTCCTCCCCGTCCAGAAACTAATCAAATCCATTGGGACCCGTTGGAAATATGTTGAACACCTTCGAAAGACTTGTCCAGCTTTTCTCATCGCCGCGAGCACGACTGCGTACCGCGAGCACTCATCCTCCTCATCATCTTCCTCTCACCTCCTCCCCCGCCCCGTCCCCTTCCTCCTCCCTTCCGTCCACCTCTCTCCTCTTCTCTTCCTCCCCCTCCTCCCGCATCCCCACCCCCCGCCTCATCCTCGTCTTCCTTCTCCCCTCGTCCTTCTTCTCCTCATCCCTCCTCCCCAGAGGCTCGACGGATTTCCGCGAGCACCCACTACTGCGGTCGGACCGAGATATAGGATCGAGGTTGTCTCGGGGAGGGTACCCTGATGTTTTTCGTGCTTGTTGGATGTTCTTGTTCATCCTGGGGAGGGTACCCTTGGATGTTCGGGGTGTGTGTGTGTGTGTGTGTGTGTGTGTGTGTTGGCCGGCGGAGGGTCTCACGTTCTTGGAGGATGTTCTTCTGTCCTAGGACCGACCGTACTCCCTACCCCCACCGCCCCTTGATCTAATCCTCATTCCCCCTCCTTCCTCCTCCTCCTCCTCCTCCTCCTCCTCCTCCTCCTCCTCCTCCTCCTCCTCCCCACGTCCTCCTCTGCCCCTTCAAAATGGGCTCATATTCCCTTTCCTGCTCCCCCCCTCCTCCTCTTCGTCCTCCCTCCTCCTCCCCCCCTCCCCGCCTCGCGAGCTCCCCAACACCCTCGTACGGCCCGAGCGAGCCAGCGGGCGTCGGCGGCGCCGAGTGCTTGTGTTTGGTTTTTTTTGTTACGGGGGGGGTCAACGGGGGCTCTCCCCATCTTCCCTCCCAAGAAGAGAAGGAGGAGACGGAGGAGGAGGAGGAGGAGGAGGAGGAGGAGGAGAAGGAAGAAGATGAAGGACGCAGGTAGAATATTCCCAGGGGGAAAAGTCTCGCAAGCCTGCGCGGCCGACGAGCGGTCGCGACCGCGGGGACCGTGCCGCCACCTGAGTTGCCAGGTCTCCGACCGTGCCGTCGGATTACAACATGCTGAAGAGCAACAGCGCGTGCAGGGAGGGTGGAGGGACGGCGGGCCAGCCCGCGAGACGCTTGTGCCCATTGCGGCACCGCTTTCCTTGCCGCCCCGGAGCCGCAGCAGCCGCCGCCGCCGCCTCATGGGAGCTGGCGTCGCGACCGGAAGCCTCCGCGAGGCGCGGCTCGTCGTCGGGCAGGGCCTCGACGACGCTCCGCATCACTCCGCAGCGCTCCGCGATCAGGCTGACGCGGAGCTCGCGCGAGAAAGCTCGCGGGGCCGCATCCGCAGACGAGGACGCAGGCGCAGCCTCCACGCCGGCACCGCCAGCAGGAGCAGCCGCAGCAGCCGCCACACCAGGCAGCCGCGTGGACCGCGCACCCACACCGCCGCGGCCGCGGCGGACGGGGGTATCGACCTTCTCGTCGTCAAGGGACTCGCTTCCACGAACGTCGAGAAGACGAAGGGGAAGACCCGCAGCTTCAGTAGGCTTGGCTGCCACAGGCGCAGGCCGCGGACGGCGACACCGCCACCTCGGCCCGTGGCCGCCGCCTGCCGCCTGCACCGCCGTGGGCGCGGCGTGGTCCCCTCAAGCAGCGGCACTCGCCTCAACGGCCGCTGCGCGAGGCGCTTCGCGGCCCGCGGCACCAGCACCACGGGCTCCGCGCCCTCACCGCCGCCGCAGGGCGGGCGCAGCGCCAGGCGCAGCCGTGGGCGTCGGCGCGGCGGGGGCCCCCCACGGCCCTTTGGCGTCGCGCGGCATGCCTTTGGCGGCTCGCAGCAGGCGCGCCCACACGAGGGAGCGGCCCGCCGCGGGCCCAGCCGCCGCGCGCGTCGCGAGGCGGACTCCACCGGCCGCCTCCCCCTCCTCAGGCGTCGCGACAGGCAGCATGCGGTTTTGGCGTAAACACCTGGCATGGGCGGCACGGCGAGCGCACCCGAGGGACGCGGCCCAGCGGCATGGCTATCGAGCCGAATAGGACCTTGGAGGAGGACCAGGGGGAAGGGAGGAGGAGGAAGAGGAGGAGGAGGAGGAAGAGTAAGAGGAGGAGGAGGAGGAGGAGGAGGAGGAGGAGGAGGAGGAGGGACAAGAGTGGAGGACGAGGTGGGAGGGAGGACAGAGGAGGCACAGCCGTTTGGGCTCAAGGGAAGTTCAACATCTGCGAGGAGGGCCATCTCGAACACCATGGTCTGCAACAGGTTCCCGACCGACTGGAGCTCCAACGCCTCGGGGGCCACCAAGCGCCCCGCTGACGCGGTTACCGCCGAGAAGGACGTGGAAATGGAGGACGCCACCCCAGCGTTGGACGTCAGGGAGCTGAGCTACCGCTACGGCGGCGGCGCCACCATCCACGACCGGGCCCTGAGCGAGCCGAAGCTGATCGACGTCAGCTGCACCTTCCCCCGGGGCAGCAGGGTGCTCGTCAGCGGCGCGAACGGCGCTGGCAAGTCCACGCTTCTGTCCATCATGGGCGGCATGCGGATGCTGCCGCGCGGCCAGTGCCTGCTGCTGGGCAAGGAGGCGTTCCACGACACGTCCCTCAACCGGGAGCGGATGTACTGCGGCGACTGGTGGCGCACCAACTTCTTCTCCAACATCACCGTGGCAGAGCTGGTCGGGGAGGGCCGCCTCCAGTCGCCGCGCGTCCAGGAGCTGATCGACATCATGCAGATTAATCTGTCGTGGCGCATCAACGCCATCTCCGACGGGCAGCGCCGTCGCTGCCAGCTGCTGGAGTGCCTGGCCGAGGAGAAGAAGGTCTACGTCCTGGACGAGATCACCACGGACCTGGACCTCTACGCCCGCGAGGGGCTGCTGGACTTCCTGAGGCGTGAGACCGAGACCAAGGGCGCGACCGTCTTCTACGCCACGCACATCTTCGACTCGCTGTCGTCCTGGGCCACGCACTGCGTGCACTTCTCAAGGGGCAGGATCGCGAAGTCCTGCAAAATGGAAGAGCTTAAGGAGTTCCACGACATGGTGGCCAGCGGCGCGCGCACGCCGCTGTACTCACTCATGAAGGAGTGGGTGCTCAAGGAGTACACTCCGCCGAAGACGCCCAACGTGCTGGACGGGGCAGAGGTCGTGCCCGAACCCCAGTGCCCGACACTGGAGGTGACAAATCTGCAGTTCTCATACGTGTCGGGCGCCCCGCTCAATTTGCACGGAGCAAGCTTCAGCTTCTCACGGGGCGCCCGCATCTTGGTAGTCGGCGCCAATGGCGCCTGCAAGTCTACAGTTATGTCCATATTGGGAGGCAAACGGATGATTCCTCGCGGCTTTGCAAAAGTCATCGGGAAGGATTGCTTCAACGACCCCGCCAGCGGAAAAGACGTGATGTACTGCGGTGACTGGTGGAACACGAACTTCTTCATGAATCTGACCATCCGCGAGCTTCTCGGGGCCAAGATCGTGGATACCCCGCGCTGCGCACACCTGTCGGAGATCCTGCAGGTCAACCTGGACTGGAAGATAAACAGCGTCTCGGACGGGCAGCGCCGCCGCTGCCAGCTGCTGGAGATCTTGGCCACCCCGAGGCCCGTCTACCTCATGGACGAGATCACCTCCGACCTCGACATCTCGCAGGAGGAAGAACTGCACAAACGTTACCTTTCGGAGGTCTGGGCCGATTTCTTGGATCTGCGCTGGGGCCCCATGGCGCCGCCCCTGGCGCGCTTTCGCGCGCCAGGGAGGGGGTGTCCAGCGCGGGTCCGAGACGTCCGCGCGGAGCTCCGAGAGCTTGTGCCTGTGTGGTTGTTTCTCCTTCGGGCATCTTTGCCCGCGAGGGCATCCTGGGCTTCCTGAAGGCCGAGTCCGAGCAGCGCGGCTGCACCATCTCGGGTGCTGCCAGAGGTGCCCCTGGCCCAAGGTGTCCCCCGGAGTCCCGGGGAGGCCCAGAGGGCCTTCCGCGCACCCCTCGCGAGGCTCGGGGGGCTTGGCTCCAGAATGGCTCGAGAAGCTCGGGTCACCGTGGGCCAGGACCACTTCTAGCAACACCCGACCATCTTCTACTGCACGCACATCTTCGACGAGCTGGAGGGCTGGCCCGACCACCTGCTCCACCTGTCGAAAGGGCGGGTGGTGCGGGCGTGCCCGTTCAGCGAGGTCCAGGAGTACCACCAACTCTGCGACGAGGGGTGCCCGGCGGGACCGAGACCCTTTGGGGTTCTAAAAGGAACCTGACGGAAGTTTTTCTGGCATGTTCGACTTCCAGGGGCACTTGCGGGGCCCCGGGCTCGTCAAGACACATCTCATATGATGAAAACCTGGTCCTGCGGGAAGGGGTCGGACATCCGGGGACCTCGTATTACAAACAAAACACATTGGCGAAGAAACCAACCCATTCTACGGACATAGAAAACGACCAACATTACCGATCAATGCACAAGATCTCGTTATTTAGGGGGTTCCGCAGTGCCCCTCGGTGGAGGTGCCCATGTAGCCACGAAACGTGTGAGGGGCTGCCGACATGGGGTGGATATTCATGTGAACCCTGCCCCTGGGGCCCTCGGTGGAGCTTCCTATGGGGCCACGAAACGTATGAGGGGTCTGCCGACATGAAGTGTGTAACCATGTGAACTCTGCCACTGGGGCCCTCGGTGGGGCTCCCTATGAAGCCACGAAGCGTGTGAGGGGTTTGCCGAAATGGGGCGGGTACTCATGTGAATCCCGGCCACTTGGACCATCGGTGGAGCTCCTCATAGGGACTACGAAACGTGTGGGGTGTGTGCCGAAATGAGGCGGGTACTCATGTGAACCTTGCCACTGGGGCCCTCGGTGGAATTGCTTATGGGGCCCCGAAGCGTGTGAGTGGTGTGCTGAAATGGTGCGGGTACTCATGTGAACCCTGCCGCTTGGGCCCTCGGTGGGGCTGCCTATAGGACCACGAAAACGTGTGAGGGGTGTACCGAACTGTGGTTGGTACCCATCTGAACCCTGCCACTGGGGCCCTCGGTGGACCCCTCTTTGGTACCACAAAGCGTGTGAGGGGGTGTGCGAGAATGGGGCGGGCACCCATGTGAACACTGCCACTGGGGCCCTCGGTGGAGCCCCCTCATGAAGGTACCAAACGGGTGAGGGGTGTGCCGAATAAGGGCGGGTATCCATGTGAACCCTGCCCCTGGGGCCTTTGATAGAGCTCTCTATGGGGCCACGAAGCATGTGGTGGGTGTGCCGACATGAGGCGGGTAGCAATGTGAACCTTGCCACTGGGGCCCTCGGTGGAGCCCCTTGATGGGGTCACAAAGCGTGTGAGGGGTCTGCCGAAATGCGAAAAATCAAACGAGATAAGGAGAATGAGGCCTCCTGCATTGCTAGAGCCGTCGCTGGGGCATTCGGTGGAAGTTCTTTGATTGTTACACATGGTTCATTGCTAGTTATTCGGAAGTTCTTTGATTCTTCGGGGGGGCAATATCCTTTCATTTCTCAGTGTTCTATCCTGGGCCTCTTCCTGGCCACTAGGGGGCCAGGAACAATTAGAAACGAGCACAATTAGAAATAAGCCCGATTAGGAATGAACGACGTGTGAGGAGTAACACGACCATGTGATGGCAATGAAGAGGGTGGTGTTTGATATCAAGATGATGATGCTGGCGAGGAGCCCGAGAGGAGGAAGAACGGGGGAGGAGGAGAGGAGGAGACGTGCGGCGTTGCGAATTCAAAACGGGGACCCAACTCCACAGGAGGGTTTCGAATCAAGACGTCGGACATCTGGGTCGGGCGGGGCCCAGAACCGGGATACATCTTGGCATCCTGGATCATCTGGCCACTTTTCTCGGCGAGGACCATCGAGGGGCACTTTCTCGGCGAGGGGCACCATCTCTTGCAATCACTCGGACGTGTGCATATTTCTCTGCTGCGAGGACCATCGAGGGGCATCCAGGAGCATTTGGCCACTGGCCAAGAGAGCACGCGGTGAAACCGACAAGTGCACGGGAGCGCACGTCCGGGTGATTGCAAGAGATCCTCCCGGAGCATCCCCGGGACGCTCGCCGTTGTGGAGCGCTCTGGGACGGCCGCGGCGCTCGACGCGTCCTCCGGGACCGCTGGACCTCGGAGACCCCGATTCTTATTAGCCTCGAACGTACCCCTATCCCTAAGATTGACACGCCAAAAGGCGATGACAATCTTAGGGATCCGCCCTCAAAAAATAAGGGAATCCCTAATATTGGCATCGTGATGAGGAGGTGCCCAGCATAGGGATAGGGACATGTTCCAGGCTGGTAAGATTCATCCCGATTCGGGTGCCTCTCGGTCCTGGCTTCGTCTCAGGTGCAGCACGCCGCTGTACTCCACCATCCGGCGGTGGATCTACGCGGAGTACGCCGAGTCCGAGGTCAGGGGCAATGTTGGGGGGGATAGGCTCAGGGGGAGAGGCATCGATCCCCTGTCGCCCATTCATCGCCGATAGGGGTCTGATAGCCCGCCCTGCCCAAGAACGTGAGGATTCGCTATCTGGGGCCTATCGCCGACGTATCGTCGATGTATCGCCGATTCCAGGTCGACGTTCCCCCCCTCAGCTGGTCCCCCCCTGCGGTGAGGAACTCTTGGGGTGGCGTGTCGCGCCGCCGGTTCAGGGCCCACCACGCCTCTGCGCGACACGCCATCCACCTCCATGTCGCCAGGGCTTCAGCGTCCCGAGCTCGTCGAAGCCCCCTGCCCCGCGGAGCGGCGCGACGCGCTCTCCGCTCTCCGGGCAGGGCGTGTCGCCGGGGCCGCCGCGGCGGCACGCCATCCAAGAAGGTTCCCGACCGCAGCGCTTCCCCCTCACGAGGGCGCGCGGCCGTGGAGGGTGACGGACGAGAAGTCCCTGACGGACGGGCGCATCCCCAACCTGGGGCTCGCTGGCCCCTTCCAGACCGCCTGCGGCTGAGCGGCGGCGCGAGGAGGAGGAGGAGGAGGCACCGAGCGGCGAGAGGAGGAAGAGGTACCCAATACCGCTGCCTTCCTCCCGCCGTTCCCTTTTTGGGCCTCCTTGGAGGTCCTCGTCGCCACCGCTGGATTCGCTTCGAAATGCTGGTCAGAGCACACCCCGGGAGAGATCCGGGGAGTAGCGGTATCGGTACCTGTCGGTTGCCCCAGGGCGGCTGCCCCCGGCGACGCGCACGGGGTGGCAGGGACAGAGGGCGGGGGAGGGCCGTCTCTCGGGGGCCTGGAGGTTGGCACAAACACCAGCCTCGGCGGCGTGCCTCCAACGAGGGATGGTGATCCCGATCTCGGTGTCCCCAGAGTCCAGGATCATCTTCCCCCGGTGGAGGCAAGTCCCTGTGTTGATGGCGGTGCCAGTTTCCAGGCCCCAAAATCGCAGAAGCCTTCTCAGGAGGCTCCAGCGTGGGGCGAGGGGCTTCTGCATGTCACTGCTACTGCGCATGCCCTCACTGATCCGACGAACCTCAGACGACATACAGTCAACACGCTGAAAATCAGGACACTCTCAGGAGCTCTCTCTCTCGAGGAGCAGAAACGGCATAATTACCCTGACGGTCGGATCCCACATGGTAATCTTCCAAGCTGACCTGGAAGTGATCATCATTGTCGTCCCTGTGACTGCGGAGGCTTTCCTCTGGTCCTCGTCACCATTCTCCCTCTCGCCCTGGCGGAGGCCCTCCTCCCGCCCCCTGCTCTGCCTCCTCCTCGTCCTCCTGCCTCTTTTGCCCCCGTCCACCTCCTCCCCCGTCCCTCTTGCGAGGGCTCCTGCTCGAGACTCCCTCCTGCGAGGGTCTCCTCATCAGCCTTCTCAGAAGCCCCCAGCGTGGAGCGACAGGCTTCTGCGGGTCACTGCTGCCGAGCACGCACTCGCGATCCGACGACGCAACCGGCGCTAGACGGCCTACCGTCAGCATGCCGAACTCAGGACCGCCTCGGGGGCTCGGGCGGGGCTCCGGTTCTCGGGCCGTTCCTTCGAGCAGCGGCCCCGCGAGTCGATCGCGTGGTGAGCCAGTTGGGACCAGAGGCCTGCCTCATTCCGTGCCGGCGACATGCACGGGGGTGGGTGGGAACCTAACGAGTTCGTGGCCCTGCCGCAGTCTGGCGGGAGTGCGGGCCAGTGAAGAACATCGGAGACACCCCTGCCCCCCGCCCACGTCAAGAAGGCGGCCCACCTCGCTCCCGCCCCATCTCCCCCCCTGCGCGAGCCGCCGCTGCCCAGCGCCCGCCAATAATCTGCCAGTTCTCCTGCCCGTGCCGCGCGGGAAGGCCCAGCGCGCACAGGTTTCTTTCTGTGCTCGCCAGGCGCTCCTGCCGTGCAGTTTTCGTGCAGCTTCTGCCTGCCCGCGCCGCGCGGGAGGGCCGCGAGCGAATTTTCTTGCAGCTTCTGCCTGCCCGTGCCGAGCGGGAGGGCCGCGGCAGGTTTTCGCGCGGGGCGCCCCCGCCGCCACGCCCGCTCTTTGGCGCGCACTGGCGCGCCCGAGCGGGGGCCACCGCGGCTTCGCAGCCGCTGCTGGGCACTGGCTTCGGCCAGGCGCCCAGCCGCGTGATTTCTGTCTCGCGCGAACGCCGCGGCACGCGGCGCGCAAATCTCTTCTCGGAGAGAAAAGGGGATCCTCGGCTATCAAGGGGGGGTCTTCCGTTGTAAATGAAGATTCTGAGCTGCAAAGGAGGTCCTGCGGCTTTCGGCCCAGATGCAAGAAACACTGCCTCTTGGGCGAGGGGGCGATAGCTTGCATTCTGAATGAGGTTAGCTCACCAGCAGATGCACCGTGAGAATCCATCAAAGCGGCTCGCCCATTCCGCCGGTCCAGATTGTCCCATCGCGCGACATTGCCCGCGCCTTCGTAGCCACGGCGCTGGTGGATCTTGGATGAGTGAGGAGGAGGAGGAGGTGGAGGAGGAGGAGGCCTCTCAGTGGTTTCTTGGGGCAGGCACGGGACCAAATCAGGTTGTCAACAACACGCCTCGTTGGGAGGCTGCTGGAGGTTTCCAGGGCACTCTCCCGGGAGCCTCTTCAAAGGACTCCCGAGAGAGCGCCCTGGAAACCCAGGGAGTTCTCTTGGAGACCTTTTGGAGACCATTTTGGGACCTCCTGGGGCCTCTGGGGCGCATGCTGGCGGTCTCTCAAGGGCCATCTTCCGAGTAGGGCTCGACATGTGAGTTCGGATCCCCCCCTGTGGGGCCTTCTCGGCGTCTTGGGGCTGTATCGGGAGCGTTCTGGGCGGACTTGATGCGATCTTGGCGGCCTCCTTGGCTGTCGTGGGCGGCCGGACGGCCAAAAAGGCGGTTCTGTCAAACTCTTTTTTCGCATTGAGGAAAAACATACATCAATGAATTCTGCTTCTTGGGGCCCTCTTGGGGTCCTCGTGGAGCTCTCTGGGGCCGTCTTGGGCGCCTCTGGGACGGTATTGAAATCATCTTGGGTCGTATTGGCGCGCTCTTGGCCTGAAGCCGCGGGGACTGCCCCACCAGACCTGGCGCCTCCTGGGGGCCCTGCTGGGGCACTCTGAGGGCCGCACCCGGGAGTGCCGGCATTCCTGACCCCAGCCCAGCTGGGAGTTTGGGCTGATATGTTTCGCCCAGGGGCCCCTTCTTCTCCTCCTCTTCCTCCTCCTCCTTCTCCTGCTCCTGCTCCTCCTTCCTCCTCCTCCTCCTCCCCAGGGGCCGCCCCACGCGCGCGAGCTGAGCATATATCCGCACCTCTTCACTGAGATTTGTGTTGCACGCCTCTGGCCCGCTGGGGCGGCGACTTGTCCCCCGAGGGTCTTGGAGGCCGCCGGGCGCCTCACAGAGCCCAGGACCGACGTGGGATGTCTCCAGCCGCGGCGAAGTGTCCTGGTTTGCCCATAGGCCCAACAAGGAATGTTCTAAGAAACTTTCGTGGTCTGCACGAAATGGAATCAGTAGAACATTCTCTGGCTCGGGCTGTCGTGTTTTACACATCGGGTCTACGCTATAAGAACACTGCTTTGTTATTCGAACATCTTGGGGTTCTAAGAGCATGTCGTGGTGGGCCTATAGGATTGCTGGGACGGTCGGTCCTTGCTCAGGGGATGCCACCCCAGATGGTATCCTGGGCCAGAAGAGACCTCGCCTCTGGCGCGCATCGCCCTCCGCGGCAGCTGGCGGGGGGACCGCGCAGGCTGGCGGGAGCAAGACAGCGCCCGTTCCGCTGGAGGGAGCCGGCGGAAGCAAAGGCGAGGCGGCAAATTGTTTGAGGCGGAAGTTGTTTTCAACTCGCCATGTCAAGAGTCGGCCAGATGTGCTGCTTGATCTTAGTGTCGCTTGAATGCGAACATGGGCAGCGCCTTGACGACCATCCCTTCCGAATCCACCAGGGCTGCGTCGCGTCCCCATGTTGTACGGCACTCGTGCGCCTTCCTCGTCTTCCAGGCCGTGCGCGGATATGTGTATGCGCATTTTGTCGGGCCTAGCCCGAAGTTGTTCTGTGCGAGGTGCCATTGACTCAACTGGTCGCACCCGTTAGCAGGCCGGTTGAGTTTCGGCTGCGGAGTGGGCCATTCATCGCGCAAACATTAGCGGGCCAATTCATCCTCGGCAGAAGAGGTTGCCGAGTATGACACAACCAGCAGTTGCAGGCACTTTGAACATCGGACGCCGATTGCGGGCCGTTTTATGTTGGGCCGCCGAGAGCGCAACTTTTGGCGCAACCAACGGCTGGTCGCTTTCATCTCGGCAGCTGGATGCGTAGCCTATGCCGCAACCAAGTAGGGGTCGTTCAAGATTCGGTCGCCGAGAGCGCAACCGATGCAGCAGCCAACTGCACGCCGTTTTACGTTCGCCTGCCGAGTGCGCAGCGTATGGCGTAGCCCGCAGCAGGCCGGTTCCCGTTCGGCCGCGCAGACCCATGGACAAGAATAGCAGGTTGTGTGGTGTTCGGTTGCAGAGCGCGCAATGGATTTATCGTTCGACCCAAAGCAGGCCTGCTAACTGTCCGCGTCCGGAAGCAACGGCGCAACTCGGCGCAGGCCGCTTTATCCGCCGAGTGCGCAACACATGGCGCAACCAACAGCAGACAGTTTAACTACCGGCCGCCATGTACCCAACCCGTGGCGCAGACTGGATGGCGCAACCAATGGTGAAAGCCATGAATTGCGCAATCCATGACGCAACCCATCGATGGCGCATTCGATGGGGCGACCAGGCAACCATTGGATGGTGCAACCTAGGCGCAACTCATGGACGGCGCAACCTATGGCGCAGCCCATGGATGGCGCACCCGCTGGCACTTCCTGCGGGCTACGCCCGATGTATGCTCACCGCTGTGGCTCAGGGGCGGGGCCCAATCGACGAGCTGTCAGGGGGGGCGCGCGCGTGCAGCGACGGCGCCACAGTCGATCGATTGTCTGCGCATACCGCCAGCTTCGGTGGACACCACATTCCGTTTCCGTCGGGATCGTCGCCGTCGTGTCGTTGTTGCTTTCGTCGTCGTGGTCTTGTGCCCTGTGCTCGGTCCACGTGCGATCGGCTTGCGCCTGCGTGTGTAGTTTTGTGATTTGCCGCTCGGGTTCCCCGAGACGTCGACCCCGCCCCCAGGATCGGCCCCTTGACGCGGGTCGTTTGAAGCAGGCGCCATCGGACACGGTGGCGCCCCCCTGGGGGCCGAAAGCGGTGTCATGGCATGCTCCTGTCGTTTTTGGGGCGCGCCTTGTGTTCGGGCCTGGCCGCGTTGCATCCGCAAGCGTGTTCCGTCGAGCTCGCGGCAGCGGAGGCGCCACCACGCGCCCCCACGGCAGGTGCTTCGCAAATCTTAGGAGGCGAGACTGGTGCCATGGCATATTCCTGTTGTACTTGGGGTATGCCGTGTGTTCGGGCATGGTCGCGTTGCATGTGCGAGCGGGTTTTCCGTCGAGCTCGCGGCAGCGGATGCGCCACCATGTGGCCCCACGGCCAGCGATTTGCAGATCCGGGGCGCGTGGAGCGATGTCATGTAATGTTCTTGTTGCGCCTCGTGTTCGGACCTGGCCGCGTTACATCCGCGAGTGGTGCTCCGTCGAGCTCGCGGCAGCGGAGGCGCCACCATGTGGGCCCACGACTGGCATGATCGTGTTCCTGTTGTTTTTGGGTCGCGCCTTGTGTTCGGGCCTGGTCGCGTTGCGTCCGCGAGTGTTCCGTCGAGCTCGCGGAAGTGGAGGCGCCACCATTTGGCCCCACGGCGGGCGTTTCGCAGATCCTGGGGGCCGAAGGCGGCGTCATGGCATGATCGTGTTCTTGTTGCTTTTGGGCGCGCCGTGTGTTCGGGCCTGGTCGCGTTGCGTCCGCGAGTGTTCTGTCGAGTTCGCGGCAGCGGAGGCGCCGCTATGTGACCCCACAGCTGGCGCTTCGCGGATCTCTTTCGACCGAGTGCGGTGCTATGCCATGCTCCTGCTGTCCTTGGGGCGCGCCTTGTGTTCGGGCCTGGTCGCGTTGCATCCGCGAGTGGTTTTCCGTCGAGCCCGCAGCAGTGGAGGCGCCGCCACGCGACCCCACGGGCCGCGATTCGCGGATCTCTCTCGGCAGAGAGCGGTGTCATGCCATGCTCCTGTTGTTTTTTGTCGGCGCACCTTGTGTTCGGGCCTGGTCGCGTTGCATCCGCGAGTGGTTTTCCGTCGAGCCCGCAGCAGCGGAGCTGCCGCCACGCGACCCCACGGGCCGCGATTCGCGGATCTCTCTCGGCCGAGCTCGGTGTCATGCCTTGTTCCTATTGTGTTTGTGGGTGCGCCTTCGGTTCGGGCCTGGCCGCGTTGCATCCACGAGTGGTGTTCCGTCGAGCTCGCGGCAGTGGAGGCGCCACCATGTGGCCCCACGGCGGGCGTTTCGCGGATCCTGGGGGCCGAGGGCGGTGTCATGGCTCAGGAGGAAAAGAAACACACAGACACAATTAATCGTCGATTCCCCAGAAAATGTGGGAAAATATGGGAAGTGGTGGGGAAGACAAAATCAGGGGAAATATGGGACAATATGGGGAATATGTTTATTTGTGTGTATTCATTTGTGTGCCCTGGGGCCCCTTCAATGGCATGGTCCTGCTCCCGATGCTCGGGCTTGGCCGCGGTGCATCCGCGAGTGGTGCTCCGTCGGGCTCGTGGCAGGCAGCGCGCGCCGCGCGGCCCCACGGCTGGCGCCTTCTGGATATCCCCCGGGGGCTGAAGGTGGCGTCGTGGCGTGCGCCCGTTGTGTGTTTGGTGCGGGCGTTGAGTTTCGGGCCTGGTCGCAATGCATGTGCGAGCGGGCGTTCCGTCGAGCTCGCGGCAGCGGAGGCGCCGCCACGTGCCCCCACGGCAGGCGCATCGAGGGACCTTTCGTTGGGGCCGGGAGCGGTGCCGTGGCACATCCTTGTTGTTCTTGGGGTATGCCGCGTGTTCGGGTCTGATCGCGTTGCATCTGCGAGCGGGCGTTGCGTCGAGCTCACGGCAGCGGCGGCGCCACCCCGCAGCCCTACGGCCGGCGCTTCGCGGACTCTTGGGGTCCAGAGCGGCGTCATGGTAATTATGCTCCCGGTGTCCTTTGGGTGCGAACTCTGTTCGGGCCTGGTCGCGTTGCATCCACGAGTGGCGTTTCTTGGAGCTCGCGGCGGCGGAAGCCCTGCCTCGTGTTCCCA